ATGGAATTCTGGTATGCAACGACAAAACACCTGCTCCCAAAGCAGGAATATAGAATGGGCTTCCATGCCTCTCAGTATGAACAGCAGAGACTTTCCATGTTGCATAATACATTAAAGACTTATTTATCATTTATGGTTATGATAATAGTCCCTACTTGAATGTGACTTTATTCAGGACTATTTCTAAACTCACACATTACTTGCTGATTTATGGTAAGATTTCTTGTAAGATTCCAGAAATCTTCCTTAGATACAGCAAAGATACAAAATAAAACAAACACTGAAAAATGAGAGTTTTAATGAATTACATGCACAAGCAAAACGATATAGTAGGCACCCTTTCTGTATTGTGGGCACTCTTCCCTTTCTCCTTTAGATTTTGACATCCTTGTATGAGAATGTCAAAATGACATTAAATTGTTTTTTAAAATTGGGGGGGGGGATCTCTTGGAGTCTCTTTACCAACCCTTGCATTATTTCATACTCAGTGCTTTTTTTGTATTCAGTGCTCACCCAGAATAATCACAGGGAATGCAACAAATGAAATTAAGTTAACCCTGGCCAGAACTTTGCCATGGCACTGTTCCCCTCAAGTGAAGATTGCTATACTAGCAAGGATAAATCCCCAACTTTGCAAAGAACTCTGACCCTTCATTAAAAACAACAAAACCCCTCACAATTAACCACCAAATTTTCCATCTGCAAATGGGGTGGTGAATTTATGGATGTAAGGGGAGACTTTATCTGCCCCCCTTATAAATATATTCCTTTTATAAATTCTGAATAAACACAATGTTAACAAAGAAATAAATACAGTATTTTCAGCTACATGAATCAGTTTCCTCCAATCGGGCTGACATAAACAAATGCATTATTGGCAGAGATAACACTACCAATAACATTGACTCCAGTTGTGTGATTTGATCTATATGTCTTTTTGGCCCACCAGTACAAATCTCTAAATGTTATCTTACTGAAGTCAATGCTAGTCACTTTCTGCATGGATTTTAGTGGCAGGTACATTAGTCAGTAAGATTGCAAGATTCATTATGCTAAGCTTATTCCAATTGCAACTAAAGTTTATTGACAACTTTTGACATTAATTAAATCTCACTGTTATGCATTTCCAATATTTTTCTGCCTACCTAGCTGAGAGAAGGAAGAGGTATATTAAGACTGTATAAGCAGAATTGTGCTTTTTAAGTTTTAAAACTGTGTTTTAAAAATGCAAGTTTTCATTAAAATTTACTTCAATCTGTATTTGTAATCATTTAAACAAGAGGGTGACTTCATAGATACAGATGATATAGATATACTCACTATATATAGTGATACAGTTATTGTTAGAACAAGGAGGAAAAAGAAGGAGCACACATTTGAATTTAGGAAATCCTGGTTTGTTTAAAAAAACTTGTTTAATAAAATTGTTGCTATGTGGGGCTTAGCACCTGGGCTTCTACATTGCCTTACCTATCCATACAGTTTGCCTCTTTCCTCCTTAAAGCA